TTTGCCTTAGTTTGAACTTTATCTTGATCGTTGTCTTTGCTTTGCAGTCTTATTTGTTGGAGGTGGAGAGCATCCGTCGAGCCAACGTCCATTCAGGGATATTTTTGCGGGCGCTGGAGAANGTTTCTGGCCGGAGCTCGTATCAGGGATGTGGGAGATGCCTTACAGAGGCCTTCCCTTAGGAGGGGGGCTTCTTCTTTTTGTTTGCACTATCTGAGATCGGAGAGAGAGAGAGAGAGGACTTAGATCTTGATTTGAGATCTTCGAGTTCAACTTCGAGTTTGGCGTTTCTTTCCTTTTGGTCCAAGGAAGAACTAAGCGATTTTGTTAGGAAATCCCCACAGACGGCGCCAAATTGTTTGCTCAAAAGTTATCACATATCTTATGAGTATAAAACAATATAAATAAATCACGGAAAAATCATAGCAAACCGTAATAATCCGTTGGACCATATGAAGGAAACGAAGATAAGTACTCAGGGTTAGGGGGAGAAACATTAGAAGCCTTTATTGATAATATTTGTTTGGTCTGCCTCTCCTTGAAGAGGTTCAGAGCCTTACAATGGTGTTCTCCTCTCTCATAATATGTATATCGTTATATCTTTCTCTCTCTCTTGAATAGTAAAGAAGAAGAAGCCCCCCTTTCTAGGGTTTCCTCTCTTGGTATTTATAGCTGTGAGCTGGCAATAAGTGGCCGTGACCACGTTGGGATTTCGCCTTCATGGTGATAGGCCATGGCCTTGCTGATCGAATCAGATGCGGGTTGAATATCGTTAATTCTGAGTGGTCGTGCCACTAATTAATCATGAATTAGCTTAAGACGGGATTAGCTTCGTTAATTATCGTGGGGTCGAATTCTGACCCATACAAGTTTCACACTCCAAAACCCCCCAACAAAGACTCTAATTCCTACTTTCTAAGCATGATCCCAAACCCTTAGCAGCTTAATTTTCCGTACACTCCGGGGTACAATTCCTGAGATGCAGAACCAATAATACCTGGTCAAGAGCTAAAATTTGGATGTCTATTTTTTGCGTCGAGCTGAAATCTTAAACTAGACGATCATGTCAATCAACTAAGTATGTTAAAAAAAGAAAAAAAAAAGTGCGCCTGATATTACTGCAGTAGACAGAGGTGTAATGAAATCAAAGTAATTTTAGTAGATTATCATATGGAGAGGACGTGAGAGTTAGATTCCTTTTGTTTTCCAGGAAATTTCGTAATGCAAACTAAAAGGCTCTTTCTTTTTTGGTAACAATAAACCTTCCGTAAAATAATTGAGTTGTAGATAGAATCCTTGTACTTTTGAAATGATACTCTCAACTCTCGTATATAATGAAAATCTCACATAAATATAGTTTGAATAATATTTTATTTTACAAGGGTGTTAAGTGTTTTATATGTATATTAATATGAACAGACTAATAGACAAACTAACATTTAGCAATAGAAAGTTCTTATTTAGTCAGTTTTATAAATTGAAGAAAAGATAATAAATTTGGGATTACCTTTATAGCAGTAAGTTTTACACAATTGGGTCTCCAAAGGAGATTAGTCAACGAGGAATGGTGGAGCAAAGAGCAAAAGTTACCTTCATAGTTTCACACTTTGTCTCGACGCTTTTGTCTGTCTTCTTTAATTTGTTCGAAATTTGCTTTACAGCTTTTCTCTAAGCATACTTAGTCCACGGTCAACTAGTTTCAAGACTCCATCATCCTCGGTTCTAGTATTTTCAGCTGTAATGTCTGACTCTATCACCACATTTTCATTGTCGATCCCCCTAATACTATTTTAAGCTGCAAAATTAATCACCAATCATAATGAATCAAAGATATATACTTTGCCAGATTAAGCAAAATTAATCACCAATCATAATGATTTAAAGATACTTTGCCAGATTAAGAAAAATTAATTACCAATCATAATGATGAGTAGTAGCTTACTATTGCTTTTCAGTTAGTCAGTTAATTCACACAATTTCGTAGACTAATCAACAAAGATGGTATGATTTTCTCACAAAACTTTGTGTATACGCCTCAAGGTTGTATACGGGTGAACACGGGGTGTAGGTTGTATACGGGTGAACTCGGGGTCAGCACACACCCCGAGTTCTTGGTAAATTAGACGAAGTACGAATGTACAAGGTGGAGACCGGATCTGAGAACTCTTTGGTTCGAGGGTGGAATGGGGTGCTCGCCACCGGGCCCGACAAGACAACAACCCCTGATCCCGGAACGAGTTCGAAGACCTCGGAAAACATTGCAAACGGTTGCACACGACTAACAGAGGACCGTGATATCCACACCCAATCTGATATTACGGCGCGGATCACGCCCGATGCCGGTAGCGTATCAGTGATTGATGTACAAGAAGGATTTTTACCTTTTTTAGAATTGTACTAGGAGTAAAATTCCCCTACTATATATAGGGGGCTTTCTTATTCAATAGATATATTGTAACACGCGTATCAAAGCAATATAAACTTACTTCTCTGCGTTCTAGCCCATTGAAAGGTTCTTAGTTTATTCATAGTTCTCCATGCACATTTGGCTTCGAATCGAGGGCCCGGTCGAGGGTAATACCACTGTTAAGCTAAAACTCGAGCCCGGACTCAACGTCACAACTGGTTTGGTTATTGATTTCATCTTTAATTCGTTTATCTAACATTCTCGATTTCTTATACTGAATCTATCCACATATCCTTAAAACTGCGTACAAATTTAATTGTTATCCATTTAAAGGGTAAACAAAGGTAAATGCCTGTGGATTAAACAAAACTTTATGAGTTGAACTTGGTGTATGGGTCAAAATCTGACCACGCGTGGTTCGGCCTAAAAGGAATGACGAGGAGTCGACTGAGCCATGGTCATATTTATAAGACGTCATAACAACGAGTATCTCGGCCACTGCCGAGATCGAACTATCTAAAAGATCGTATGGCGAGGCATATGTCATGACATTTGAGGGGGCGACCCAATGCACAATGAACAGACTAAGGCCCTCTGGCTAAGAACCGTTGGATAAAGGGATATAATTGCTATATAAATAGGAAGGAGAGAACAAGAAAAGGGGGATCCTCTTCTGACAGAAGAAAGGGGCAGAAGAACCAGAGAGTACTATAAGAGGAAAACAAGAAGAATCACAAATCGGGGCGACAAATCTTCGTAATCATTTTTCTTGAGGCAAAAAAAAGATAGATCTTGCAATTATCAATAACTTTCCCTCTGTTCCTCCTTTATTTTCATGTATTGCGGGACAATACATGATGAATGTAAGTATATTATTTATAGTTGGCATCTTCTATAAATATCAAAAGTTCATGAGCTCGATTATATCTTATTCTCTTATTCAATATACTTTAATTTAATGCTTAATCTAGAGTTAATTATTCTTGGCTAAGATTTATAGCTCGTTTGGCCAAGCTGCAAAAATCAGCTTATTTTGAGAAGTGCTTTTTTTCAAAAGTGCTTTTCTCAAAAGTACTTTTGGTGAGAAGCAGTTTGTGTTTGGCTAATTAGTTTGAAAAGCACTTCTGAGCAGCAATTAGTGTTTGGCCAAGCTTTAAAAAACTGCTTCTAAGTGTATTTTTCTCAAAAGTGCTTCTCAAAAAAGTGCTTTTGGAGAGAAGCTACTTTTTTCTGCTTCTCCAAAACTGCTTCTGCTTCTCCTCAAAAGCACTTTTTTTTTTCCTTCCAAAAACTTGGCCAAACACCTCAATTTTTGGCCAAAAGTGCTTTTGGCCAAAAAAAACACTTTTGTCCAAAAAGAAGCTTGGCCAAACAGGCTATTATCCTTTATGTCATCATTAATTAGTTTAACAAAAGGTTTAACACTTTTTGATCAAACACTTGGTAACTATTTTGCAGAGAACTGTCTGTTTACACCTCAAAGCCAAACGACTAAGAGCCCGTTTGGATTGGCTTGTTTTAAGTGCTTTTAAGCCAAAATAGCTTTCAAGTCATTTTGCAGTAGTTGGATAAAGTAAAAAAGTGCTTGTTTTTAAGCTAAAATGATAAAAACAAGCCAAAAGCCAAAAGCCAAAAGTTAGAATTCCTAACTTATGGCTTAAGAGCTATTTTGACTTAAAAGTCACTTAAAACAAGCCCATCCAAACAGGCTCTAATTCGGTTAAACCTTTGATTGGAATTAGAGTTGAAGACACTAAAGAACAAGCTGCACCCACTGATAAAAAATGGGAGGGCGAGCCCTCGTGTTCTGGACTTGTTTGTTACTAAAACCTAACTGTAAAGTTAACAGAGTAATTATATTATAGTAATTATTCATGATTCAAGGCAGTTTTATTTTACCACTTGCCCATGTTCTTCTCCTTCCTCTTCAACAATATTTTGGTTCTCACTCCTTGGGAACTCTGCTCGCTAATCACCATGCTTATATTAACTAATAGAAAATACTAGTAATATTTTATACTAGTGAATTACACTGAAGGATACCTGAGAGAATTCACTAATCGTGTGCGTTTAATATTTGACCAGGACCGACACGCTCCTAAATCCTAGAGTTAGGCTCACCGTTTTACCAAGAACTAATTATAATAGTGATGTACTAGTACTACTAAATAAAACTTTTTTAGTAGTATAAATTTACACAATTGAAAGAAGGCAACAAAGAACGTAAAGTCGAATTAACAATTACTTTATGGAAGAAAAAAAAAAAAGAACAAGAAAATTAAATGTAATGATACTAGAAAAAAGTAGTACATAGAAATGAGATAGGTTGATAATCTAAAAGGAAAAATAAACACTACTTTTATAAAATCAACGGTTAATCGTCAAATCTTGAGACTGGAGAGAGTGTGGTTACAACCTAAAATTGGCAGAAATTAAATATGATTTTTTTACATTAATTAATAAAGTAGGAGGGGAATAAGATTTTCAACCAACTCTTCAGAAAGTCAAAAGTTGCCTTCCCTCTGTATTATGGACCATACCAGTCTAATTAGACCCTTAAATTGATAGATAAGGGAGTGCGTGAAAAATGAAAGGGTTAGTTAAAGGTGTAGATATATAGGCCAACAAAACAAACTAATCCTCGTAGCATGCATGGCGGCAGACAACTATATCTTCCATTCCACGCTATCATAGCCCTTTTCCTTAACATCCTGATGAATTAATCAACGAAGAAAAGACCATCTTCCACTTCTTAATTGTTTTATTTTGTTCACTGCTCCTTTTCTATTAGTAAGTCAGTCTTTTGAGTTTTCCCAGGTACTTTTTGTGCTCAGTATGTATACCATTTTTTTAAACAATGACAAAAAGTTAGTTGTTCTAACCCTAGCTTTGACTTAGGTTTAGAATTTGGGCTTTCTATAAATCTCCCACTTTCCTTTCATGTGCATCCTCTCCTTTGTTGCAGAGTAACAGATATACCCTTAACCAAAAGAAAGAGTCAAAATGGTGTCCTTAAGTTTTAGTTCCTTTACGCTTGTTCTGTTGTTCATTTTCCTAACCATAAAGGTTTCAATTGCTCGTAGTCAGCAAGGTACGTACTATTTTTTCTTCTTTTCCCAGTCATTAATATGTTTATTTTTTTCTAAATTAACAGATTAGTTCCTTCTTTTTCCTATGAAAATCTAATTAAAAGTTGACTCTTCTGCAGCAAAGCAAACCTTTGTTGTGGTCTATGAAGCAGAAAATGGTTTTGCCATGGAACTAGCTGGGAGTCATCAGAGTGTGGAGAAGGTACTAATTCTTTAAGTTGAGTTGATTTCAGATTTAGTTACAAAACACTGTCAGTTTCTTTTTTAGAAATGAAAATTATTACTACAAACTCTCAAGGAGGTTAATGAAAATTCAGGAAGTTTTGGATGGTGTAGCAGCAGCTGCTGTACTCAGTACAGGCAGAATGGTAGGAAGAAAAATGATGATAGAAAGAAGAAATATGAAGCAAGTGGAAGCTAGCATCAAGAGTACAGAGGAAGATTCAAAGGATTCAGGTGCAAGTGCAACCCATTCTGTTGGAAATTTAAACCGAAAAAGGCAGGGAAAGTTGAGAGTAATGTCAAGTAAAATGAATACTAGCCATTCAGTGTCCAAGGTCAATACAGGAAGTTTCGTGGCTCTTAATGCTGATTATCACATGGCAAGACCGCACCCTCCTAAGAATAATTGAGAGAAATTAACTTTTTGCCGTTTTAGATCTAATTAGATGTTTTTTTCTTTGTAGTTAGATGTTCTTGTGAAAAAGGACTAGTATACTTGTATGTATCCAATAGAAAATCAAGAAAAGAAGAATTTTCAAATTCACATATGTGCAAGAGTATCGCAATTCTTTGTAGTGCATCCATTCTTTTTACAAGCAAAGTGAATGGATATATCCTTTCTTTTATGATTATTCTTTATTTGGTATTTCCTCATTTCCCCTGCCTCGTTTCATTGGAGTGTACGTTTAAATTGTTCAATCAGCTTCTTTATTTTCCGTTGTGTGAAACTAGCTAGTTAATTCACTGTAAATAAGGAAGGGTAAAGAAAAGGAATGACTTCTGAATTTGCGTATTTTCTCGATGACAATGCAGGAAAACTTCTGGAAGATGCAACTGAGTTTTTGAACATGATGAACAAGGACTATAGTGGAGGTCCAGGATCAGGAAGCAAACCCCGTCACAAACCACCAATCAACAATTACCAGCCTTTCCACAGATCAAATCCATGAAAAAACCATGTAAAATTTTTGTTTTAGCTCTACAATTTTGGCCATAGGAAACTAGATACTAACCAATTTTTGGTTTGTTTGATGACTCTTCAGATTAGGCCTTTTCTAACTTGTGCCTTGTATTAGCACCATCATATTGTAATAGTTTTTGTCTTTTCTAGCTCGTGAGATGTACTAAATGTAGTTAAAAAAGTTGTTAGTATCTGTGTTTTAATTTGCTAATATTCTAAACAGTTGCACTGGTCAAAACAGGAAGACCAACTCTTTTTTTATAATACTTCTGCTAAGAATCTCAGAGTGACAGTATTTTATGATTAACGTTCAATATGGGGCTGATGGAACACTGTAACATCACATGGTCTCGACGCTGTAATAATTTTTACCGCAAAAATTCTTGCAATTTTTTCTTTTTGGCTGAAATTACAGTTGTTTACCTCGAAAATATGAGTAATAATTAAATTTGATTTGTGGTTTTAAAGATATGTGATTTAGTTCAATACCAATTAATAATCAAGGAATATGAAGTAAAGTTGAAAGAAACGGATGAATCAACCAGTGTTACCAAACAGTATCGGCCTCGAGCTTAGTGACCTCGAGATGAACCAAGAACAATAAAGTAAGAATAGTAAGGAGAAAAGACAAGTCTGATGAACAATGAGCCAGAAAAGTAAGATAGTATATTCTTTGCCAATGATTAGATGATCTTTACAAATGATTGGGGTCCCTTTATATAATAGGGAAACCCTAAATAAGGTACATTTCTATTTACAGTAAGGAATCTTATTGGGACAGCTGTCTAACCGCCTAGTACGGAATCGTACAATTCTATTCCGGGATTTGCGCCATGATTTTGGGGACGTGGCAGGAACCTCGCTCATTCTGTTAGAAATCCATAACGGCATTATTCCGGAGTCGAGCATACTTGGCTTGGGTACTCATTGTACTTCGATCTTCGGGCATTGCATCCTTTCTTCGAGCTCGAGTCTGATCCATCGGGCTCGGACTCGACCTTGCCTGAACTCGGGCTTAAGATGACCCTTCGAGCTTGGGAAATCGGGCATACCTTATTTCGACCATATACAGAGATAGTCCTCGCGTTTCTTAGAATAAGATGATAAGAAGCGATTTGAACCTTGATTCTCCGGAGTCTCCAATGATGACGCCATTTCCGTGACGTAGGCGTTCGAAGTGACCGAGTCAGTTCGCTTCCCCAAAACATTGAATGCATTCCAGTAACGGTCGCCCACTAGCGTCGCCGAACCGTCGCCTCTTATCTATAAATATGGAGTTTCTTTTTTGAGCCAAAAACTATACCTATTCATAGCATTTACTCTGCTCACTCTTCCCCTTCATCTCTTTCTCCTCTCACTACTTTTACTCCGATTACCGGAAAACCCAAGATCGCATAAAATATCACGCTCTGCTACCGCCTGTACTCCTGATTTTAATTCTATGGCTAAAACTTCCAAAATAGTTCCCCAAAAAAAGAAAGCATCGTCTTCTTCCACTGCCCCGGCCGGCCAAACCGGTGGTGCCGCCGGCTCTTCACGAAATAACCCCCGGTCCTTGTGTGATAAAGAAGGACTTCAATGTTGAGAATCCCCCCAATATTCCAGGCCGGTGCGAACATGTATCTCGATATATTAGTTCGATATCGAAGAAGTACCTCAAAGCCATGAAGAGGGACTGCGGCTGGGAGACGAGGTTGTGGTTCAGAACCCGAGCCCCGAGGAAAGATGGAGGGGTTCTTAAGTGTTTACACTTATCCTTTCACATTGGGTCCCCTCGATCTGGTAGTGATTGATTTTTGCAAAACGTACGAATTCACCCTCGGCCAGATCCACCCTTCTTTTTGGCGCATTGTGATCATGCTGCAATATTTTTCCGGTAAGGCCGTGGGATTGGAGTTTACCTTCAACCATCTCATTCGGCTGTATCGGCCTTAATTATTCCGAGGGCTCATCAAATTTCAACGCCGATCAAAAAAGGCTTTCTTCTCTAGTAATGACGAGGACAAAGATCGAGGCTGGATGAGCCGGTTTATTAGAGTGAGGACGTCGGATGTCATCTCTAGGGGAAAGATGCCATTCCCGGAGAGGTGGAACTTTAATCGTAAGTGAACTCCTTTTCCAAATATCTATTTATATTATGCTTCCACGTTTCATAATGTTGTTACCCTTTCTGCAGCCGTTGCTTGGACGCCCCATGCGGTCCCCGACCTCGAGGACTGGGTTCGAAAATTAGCTGCAACCTCCTCGTACGATGAGCGCAAATGGCGCGATTTATCGAAGGGCAAATGGGAGTCCAAACATCATGGTAAACTCTTTTCTCAGGCATTTGACATTCCTCTTTTATTAGTCATGCCACCTTAACCATGCTTGTTTGTGCAGGTATTAGAGATATCTCTGAAATGAGGCCGCCCCCACTCGGGGAAGAGACCGAGTCCTTGATTCCGAAGTCGGGGAAAGACAACAAAAGAAAGAGGGCTTCGAAGCTCGAAGATTCCCAGGACGAGAAGACCCCTACTCGGAAGCCGAGGAGGAAGCTTGTGCACGCGGACTTGGATTCCGCCACCCAATATCTGGAAGACGAAGAAAATGAGGGCAAAGAAACGGCGCTGGTGCCCCGAACTAGTAAACCAGTCTAGGCCGCCAAGCCCTCCGAACCTGAGACCTCGTCTTGTGGTAAAGGAACTTCGAAAAAAGACTTGGGTAAAGCCCTCGAGTCCCCGGAGATTGAGATCATTCCCCCTCCTTTATCAAGTACATTGGAGGGAACAAGTGCTGGGAGGAGCGAAGCTATTCAGAGCGCCCCGAGGGGGAAGCTCGGTGTAGCACCCCGGAAAATTTCAAAGTACATAAGTGCTATTAAGAAAGTTGATGTGTGCTAATTACATTATTTTGTGTGCAGACGAGGACTATTAATATGATGGATATCAATTGGATATGATAATAAGTGTATGAGGCATATTATAAGTGGTGTGGGGTGTAAGCATAGCTCTAAGTCCAAGTCAAGTTGGAAATTGCATGATAGACTAAAGTTCCAAACGGGTACGCACTAGACCAAACTTTGGATGAGCATATCTACATATGTATAAGGAGTTGATGGAAAACATATCAAATGCAAGATCTTTGAGTCTAGTTTCTAACGCTTCAAACCGTTTGTTATTTGGACATTCATACAAGAAGTTATGACCAAATTATTAAAGGCTGGCGGAGGAGTCTGTGGATGCGAAGCATCCGGGGCCGCGTCCGAAAGAATGGCAGGCAGTGAAGTGCTGCCATAGCATCCAAGGCCGCGTCCGAAGCCCAGAAATCTGGGCCTATAAATACCAAGTCGGGGGAGAGAGTATTTTGACTATTGGGGGTTAGGGTTCTTGAGGTGAAGGGGCGATTTTAATCTCAAATCAAGTCCAATCGACCAAGGTAAGTTGTTAATGTTGTTTTGGGTTGATTCTTACTCAATATACATGAGTTCTAACATCATTCTAACATCCAAATTCTAGATTTCATCATCAAATCCTCAAGAACACAAAAATCACCAAAGTTGTGATTTTTCAAGATTGATCTACTAGAGGTAATTTCAATGCTTCAAACTCGTTTATTATGAGTAGATAGAAGTATTTGTTACAATATTTATTGGTTGAAAGATTGGATTATAAAACTCTAGTTCACGGCATGAATAGTACTTTTGAGAAAATAAGAGAGAAGATGAATGGTGAATCTTGGCGATGAAATTGATTGAATACAATGAACCTATGGAATTATTTGTTGGCAAAAGATGGAAGTGATCAACTAAGTAATCATCCGAATTGTATATCGTGCAAGTTTTGATGATGGAAGATGATGAATAGTAACTTGGTGGCATTGGACAATTGATGTAGTATCATTAATGACTTCGAATGAGTATTAAAAATATAAGGATGAAGCTGAATGGTCTAGCTTGTAAATTTATTTGACTATTTGAGTTGTTGAAGGCTTGTAGCCAATTTATGAGCCATATATGGATATTGATTAATATCTTAGGTCATATTTTGATGTAATTAGGATATCTAATTGTAGATATCGACTTGTTAGTGATGTTGAGCTTTTTAATCAACATTGGAATGATGGAAGAGGATTGAAAGCTTGTGAATGTTAATAAAGCGAAAGCAAGGTAAGTTGATTAAAACTTACTCTTCTTGAGGGACTTTCTCTAAAAGCATGTTTCAAGTTAATACTTAAGTTGTTTGCAAATGTGCTTTCGTGCTTGTAGGGACAAACAAGTATGGATGTCTCCACGCACTAAATATTATGTTGCATATGTAGTGTCATGCCGTTTTGTAAAAAATTTATTTTAAATCTTGTTGGCAAAATGACACTCGAGATAAATGTTATAGGTTTTTATCAAAACTTACGTATTGACAAGAGTATACATATTTGAGTGCTAGAGATAAGTTTTCATGGAAACTATTTCTTTTGGAGTTTGATGTTAAATTGCTAAAGGCTTTAGCATGAAAAAAGCTGTTTATTTAATTTTTGTTCAAATGATTTAGATTTTCTATAAATGCTATGATTCGATAAAAAAATAGATACTTTGAAGCTACTATGCTATGAATCTATTTTTGAAGTATCAAATATTTTGGGAGTTACTTGTGTTCACCGAGATTGACTTCGAATATATTGTGTTCGTTGTCA